AAAGGTATTTGGCAAATGCCACTAAGATTATTAAACCCTTCAGCCGTACTGGCCCCAGCCTAATTAGTGAGAGTCACCTGTGCTGAGATGGAATGTTCACAGACCAGGAACCAAAATAGCTCCTGGTAGAGAGTGGGCACTGATCAGTAGAGAGCAAGAAAAATGGGAATGTTGGTCCTACAAGTGACTTCTGCCAATGTTTTAAGTGAGTTTGGAAGCAGATTCATCTATAGAGGCTCCAGGTAAAGGCTCAGCCCATCAGACACCCAGACTCCAGTCTTGTGGGACCCTTGGAAGAAAGTTCCACTGAACTCACAGGGACTTGCAACCACATGGAAAAATGAGAAAACTCTGGTTGTTTTAAGCCAATATGTCTGTGATGACCAGTCACAACAACAACAACAAATTGAAACATTAATTATTTTAAAGTATTTTTATTTCTATGCGTCTGTTAGCATTGCTCACATCTTTAAAAAAAGAGAACCTTGGTTTGTTTGGGCAGCTACAACAAAGCATACTTGACTGAGGGGCTTCTAAAGCACAGAATTTATTCCTGGCAGTCTGCTGAGTCCAGGCATCTGAGGTCAGGGTTCTGGCACTCTGGAGCTCCAGTGAGGGCTATCTGCCAGGTCCCATGTGGCCACCACCTTATCCTTTCATAGCAACAAAAGAGGATAGGGGAACTTTCTAGGGTTCCTTTATTATGTAAAGACACTTATCTCATCCATGCCACCTTCACCTTTAATTTTCTCCCAGCAGCCCCACCTCTTAATACCATTACACAGGAAGGTGGGGGTTGCAGTGTATGAATCGGGGGGGCCAGCGACATAAACACTCAGTCCAGAGCAACATGCTATGATGATTGATTTAGCTTTCTACTGTGGAAGCTCTTAGGCTGTCAGAGTTTCACCATGCACTTCAGTCCATCACATCACCTCCTAAGTGTTATGATCATCTGAACAAAAACAGAAAGTAAGGACAGAAAAATGGATGACATTGCTCCAGACTGTACTCTCAGGGTTTGCCCTCATTTGCCGCCACCACCCCTTGATGCTTCAGGAAAGGGTGGCCACTTCTACAGCCTGTGCCGAAAATGACCGTCTCCTAGCAGCAGGTGCTCTGCTGGCAAGAAAGCCTCTTTATCTTGACCCTTGCTTAGCTTTGACTAATCAGAACTGACATTTGACTATACACAAGACTGGAGAACATTTTTCACCCTTCATCCTGCTCCTTCATCTGCTGTCTGATTACTTTCCATTTCCCCCTCTGTAAAATGAAAAGAATAATACATGAAGCAACCTCTCAAATAATTACATTTCAAACCAATACACTTCATTAAGCATGTCTGTAGAGTCTGAGAAACACATAATAGGGAGATCACCTACTGCAGCCAGGCCCAAACACTGACAGCTTAGTGTCCCTAAGGTCTCTCTATCACTCCTGTCACGGCTTTTGTTCAGGTTTGCAGAAGGATGTGAGTCTCCATCCAGGTTTTCTGGAACCCATATTCTGTCACTTAAAGACTCCACTAATGTCTATAGTCCCAAATTGTAGCTGAAGTTTTTCTGATCCTGTCCGGCTCCCACGGTCCTATGGTCCACAGCCACTCAGACCCAAGTAAACACACACAGAGGCTTATATTAATTAAAACTTCATGGCCATTAGCTCAGGCTAACTATTGACTAGCTCTGACACTTAAACTCAGCCCATTTCTGTTCATCTATATGTCTCCACATGTTCTGTGGTTTTACCTGTTGCCATTATATGCTGCTGCCTGGATGACAGACTGGCGTCTCCTGACTCAACCTTCCTCTTCCCAGAATTCTCCTTGTCTGCTTATCCCACCCATACTTCCTGCCTGGCTACTGGCCAATTAGTATTTTATTAAACCAGTGTACAAAAGCATTATTCCACAGCACCAAATCTTCCTCTTTATCCTCTGAAGAAGATATGTGAGGAAATCCACTCATAATTTCTTTGTCTGTGTGTGTTCACATGTATATACATGCTTATTACGTTTGTGTCCATGCATGTGGTGGAGGTATGCATTTGCGTGTGTGTGTGTGTGTGTGTGTGTGTGTGTGTGTGTGTCCCAGAGGTCAGCATTGGGTATCTTCCTCTACTGCACTTCACATTCTTTTCCAGACAAAGTATCTCTCTGAGCCTGGAGCTCACTGATTTGTCTAGACTAGTTGTCTAGAAAGTCATAGAGACTCTCTCATCTATACCTCCCCAGCACTGAGATTAGAGAGGTGTGCCTGGCAGTTTTACAGAGTTCTGTGGGATTGGATTCAAGTCTCCATCCTTGTGTAGAGTGGCAAGCAATTTACCAACCAAGCCATCTCCTCAGCCCCCATTCAAAACGTCTTGTTCCAGGAGTGACACATATCACCTTTATTCACATCCACTGGAAAGAAATAGTCAGGTCTCCCCACCTAAATACACAGGAATTTTAACCTGGCAGTGTGCCTAGAGAGAAATAAGCATGGAAAACAGTGAATCTTAGCACCGTGTCTCTCACGGATGATAAGATGAAGCCGAGGGATGATCCATAGATTTAGGCTGTCAATTTGCCTTCGTCATGTATTTGAAGGTATGTATTTCTAGCCTCCATTGCTACATAACAATGTACTCAGAAATTCAGCCACATAAAACAACCTCTAATTAACTAAGCTAATGGGCTCTACATGGTTAAAATCGAAAACAGACACAAAGGAGTTATTAATCATGTTTCTGCTCCCTGAGTGTGGACTCAACAGCATAGGCTGCAATCATGTAAAGGATTCTCATTTGTGTGTCTGCCAGCTGATGTTGGACATTAGTGAAGACCTCAATGGAGGCTGCTGAGCAAGAAGTGTCACATGGAGTCTCATGTGGCCTCCGTTTCTTCATGATACGGTAGCATCAGGGAATCAGAGTTCTGGTGTGGCAGCTCAGAATCACAAAAGCAATGCACTAACTAGATAGGCAGAAGCTATGCTGTCAATCACGACATAGGTCATTTCTGCTGTAGTCCCCTGGCTTAAGAATTTGCAAGCTGACTCAAATTCAAGGAGAAAGGACCCAGATCTGCACCTCAGTGGGAGAATACTAAGCCACGGGTAAAGGACCATATGGAGTGAGAGATAGTATGGTGTCTAGTTTTGGAAATCATAATCTCCCTCATACATTGGTTTAGACCAACTGAATTTCTCTCTGTGAAATGCCTTGTGCTTTATAGAAGAATGGGCAGCAAACCATGGCCCTGTGCCTGTTTTGATAAACAAAATTTTATTGAAATACAGCCATGCCTATTCATTAGCAAAGTTGCATAGCTCCAAAAAAGACCATATGTCCTGAAAAGACAGCATTATTAATTCTCAAGCCTGGGCAGTTTGCTAACTCCGTAGATAGAATATTGATTAAGGATGTAGGCATGGAGACACATGTTTATATATTGCAGTTAGGTGTTATGCTGGCTTAGTAAATTAGTGGTTGTAGATTTTCTTCCAATTACCATGATTTCACTAGCACTGATTAGACAGCTAGGTTTTCAGTACCAAGCATGGCCTCCCATTTGTTGAGTGTATCTTAAGCTCAATTAGAAAACCATTGGTTACCACCAAGGTATGTGTGCCACTGCTGAACCTGTAGGATTATTGTGCCATGCTGGTCATTGCTGTGTTCATGGACATCATGTCTGAGCAGGACTGTTGGTTGTGTCTCTCCTTTGCAAGCTTGTGTGGCACCTTCTGGAACCCTGAAGGCTAGGGAGGTGACATGCTAGGAGAGTTAGCTCAGATTCCTGCTTCTGAAGTTCATGGAGTCTTTAGTAATAGGAACTTACTTTCCACCTCTGGGAGTAAGCAAGGGCAGCAGCCATAGGCTGTATGTTTTGGGATTCTCTTAGACAGCCCTGACCAATAACTCAAAAGAGGGCTTCTCATGTCTGGTGTTGTGATTCTTTGGTAGGTGGTCCTTATCTCCTTAACATCACTAGCTGATTGGGTGAGACCTAACACCAGTATGAAGGGTAATGTATGCTACTCAAGGTTCACTGACTTTAAACTTTGATCTCATGAAAAAAGGCAAATGCCATCTTCATAGAAACATCCACATGTGCAAATATCTGGCACCATGGTCCAGTCAGGTTAGCACATAACATAAACCATGAAACTATCTCTAACCATTTCATTTTTTTTCTTGCAGAAAAAAAAATGGCAAAGTACAGCTTTATGAGTCCTAGATCTATATTTTGATAGCTAAATTGTTTTATAGTATACAATCCATTAGGTAAGTCTGTGACTATGTATCTGTCCACATGACTTGTCATGGTGAAATGCAATATAACCAGTTAATTGTTTTATTATATTTAAGTATAAAATCTAAGGGCATGCATTTCCTGGCTTCACATGTAATATATTTTTAAATGATTTAACAAAATTATCAAAAGCAAGTACCCATACAAAGAAGATATGTAAGCATAAAATTCTGGTTCAATATAATAATTTTGATTAAATTCTCCCAGGATGAAAAGAAATGTCAGGATACTATCTATAAAAATAGTTTTAGGGAACTAATTTTTTTTTGTTGTTCTATGCATTTGTAAATCTAGATTTTAAATTTTTATTTTTTTCTTGGTTAGCTGCCTATGACAGAAATTCTTCAGTTGAGACATTATAAGAATTGTAGGAGCCTGGAGAAATGGCTCCATGGTTAAGAACAGTTGCTGCTCTTCCAGAGGACCCAAGTTCAGTTCCCAGCACCTACAGCCAGCAGTTGACAATGACCTGTAACTCCAGTTCCAGGGGATACAACACAGTCTTCTGGTCTCCACAGAAACTCATGTTCACACACACACACACACACACACACACACACATCCTCATACATGTAGTTTAAAAATAAAATATTTTATTTAAAAAAAAAAGAAAATGTACCAATGATTTCTAAATTATATTAGTAATTCCTCTTTTTGGTGAAATTTACCCTTCTCTTTTGTTTTATTTTCTCCTCTTTAGGTTTGGATGTGTGGAGGAGAAATGTTTGACGTTCCATGTTCTAGAGTCGGTCATATCTACAGGAAGTATGTCCCTTACAAAGTTCCATCTGGGACCAGCCTGGCAAGAGTGAGTAACTGGGCATCAGAAGAGTCTGGGCTCACACAGGCTCTGCTTCCTGCAGGCGGGTACTCAACCGTGGTGTCAAGAGTTCCCATTCCTCTACTCCATCTCCACTGCTTAAAGAAGTATTGATGGTGATGGTTTTGTTGTGTGTTGCCGCATCTTCACATGCGTTGTGTTTAATATTAACCATCATCTTCTGCTAATCCTTGTTAGCAGTGTTAAATGTCAATTGGGTCAGCCATCAGTCCAGGCTATGGACTTGTCTACAGTGTCACCTATTTGCAGACCAAATGGAGGCTTAGGGAGGTGGCTTGCTCATGAACACATGGATGACCAACAGTAGTAGTGTAAACCCATGCCTGCAGGATAGATGGCCATCTTTCCCCGAGCATGGAGGGTAATAGTGAACATAATTAGTCAAATAAAGTAAAGAGTAAACAAGATGGGGGAAGTGGAGGCTCAGACTCAAGTTTCTCCTCCTTTAGAACTAGAGCTAACCCTAGATATAGATTCAGACCATGGTCAAATTTCCCATAATTAAGCAAGTCTAGTTTTGTTTCGTTTCTGTTTTGTTTTGTTTAGAATGAAATTTTTCTTGTAGATCCAATGCAAGGACACTTTTACCATCTGCCCTCCAGAAGCTTCCATATGCCTGTTTGGGGAGATACAAAGTCACAAACCTTCTCCAAACAGCCCTAGCGATGTCTCTGACATCCATGTTGCTTTCCTCTTGGATGCATCTGTTGTCTTCACCACGTTACGTGTGTGTGCTACAGCTCAGGTGCCAAGTCTAAAAGCGTGGTATCTTCCAGATGCATTGGTGCTGTGATCCCCTAGGGATCTAATTCTGAGTTGTTCTTTTTGAGGTCTTCACTAAGGTGCAATACACAACCACTCGGGTCTTTTCTACATGATTCAGTAAACTCAAATAGCAACTTTTTGTAAAGCACAACTATTATTGTTGTTGTTGTTATAAACTATTCCACTAGAGTCATTCACAGATCAGTCTCACAAGGGTGGGGCTTTGGGTCTGTTATTCTACATTATACCATCATCCAAAATAGAGCTCGGAGAACATTCAGATAACTTATTGAAGAGTTTAATTAATTAGACTCCTCAAGGACAAAACAGAGGTTCGAGTTGTTAATAAAACTTAAGACATTTTAATGAACTTTAATAAAATTATCATCCCTAGTGCATCCCTCCAGGCTCTTGTTCTTCCTCCCTTGCTCTGATGTGAGGCTGTCAACAGCGTTCACGTCTTTCTCTACCCACATCCACGGTCCTTTTAGCAGTCGTGAGACATTCTAGAATGAGATTACATTGCACATTCCTTAACAGGAAATTATCATCAGACCACTCCCCGCCTCCTCCAAAACAACAAGATATTAATAATGCATTGCACTAAATATGTGCTTAAAAACACTGTTTGGAGAAAAATAGCAGTTATGAAATCATAAACTGATTAAAGAGCTGTATTTTGGTTAAAGAAATACAGTTTAATTTAGTCAAAGGACTTAATGCATATGAATGAGGAAGAAATACAAATTCACGGGCAGGTTAAAGAGTCAACAAATCCAAGCACACATTACAAATCAGCTGTGTGGATACCATCGCAGTGCAAAAGTCCTGAAGATAATGAATGGTGTCTTACCATTCATCTACTTCCCTTCACTCATTCTCCTCGACTTGTGCCTCATTCATTTGTGGGCGGATGGTGCATGTGGCCAGCTCGTAGTGCAAAAGATAAGTAGGGAAAAGGATGTTGATCCAAAAGGGGGTTGTTTGCAAAAATAAAAAAATAAAACAGCTCATATATTTGGGGAAAGAAATGAAGTACTTTTTCAAAAACTGTCAAATATGGGGAAACTAGGGTTGGCACATAAAACATCCAGGAAAAAAATGAATATTCATTCAAATGAAAGAAGTCCATAACTCTGATTTTAATCTTTTCCACTTAAAATTTTACTTGAGGGCTCATTTTAGTTTTTTTCCTAAACTGCTAGAGCAATCAGAAAGTCATAAATATTGAGGCTCAAATGTCACTCTAAGGAACATTTTATGATCTTTTAAAGTATATTAAAATGAAAAACAATTCTGATATTTTGTGGGAGAAACCTAGCTACTTTGCCACACTCTGCTATTACTAAATCATCGAAAATGATGAAAGACTGTCAAGAGAATTGAAATGCAGAGTCACATCTCATCAGTAGATATTTTAATCTTCCTGGCCTCGTTAGGAAATGGAGACGAAGCTGGAAACGTGACCCGAAAGGCTTGTTTATGTACTCTACAAAGCTCATTTAATCCGGTGAAAATGTGTACTTTTCATTTATGGACTTATGTAACTGATGATTCCAGCTCCCTCCAAATACACAGAGGTGTAAACACATGCACATGCGTGCACACACACACACACACACACACACACACACACACACACACACAGACTGAAGTCCCCTAGTCAACACACTAGTATATATTGTTAGAAACAAATTCAAATAACCTCATTCAGCACTTCCTCTTTAGCACCGTACCCTGATAAGAGGCCATGACACAAGCTACCCATCTGTGAAACACGTGATAACAAATGATTCTCCACAAGTGCTGGGAACAAGTGTCCAAACATCAGGAGGGTCAGTGCTGTTATAGTTCTGAACTTCAGTCCTTGCAAATCAAAGGCTTAAAAGAAGAACGTTAAGGATACCTCAGTTAGAGTAACGGATTTCTAAGAACAGGGTTTTAAAATTCAGAACCAATGACCAGCGTCAACTTCTAGCCAAGTTTTCACCCAATCTTTGGTGAACAGAGAAAAAGAAGAATCACAAAGCTGTATTTACTCAATCTAGCAGTATAGGTTGTGTGCATTATTATAGGGTTCTCTTGTACTTCGGGATTCAAGGTAGTCAGTTTGTTATTGTTAACGTCCTGATTGAGTAAAAGCAAAACTTAACCTCCCTGTGTCGTTTCCTCAAAATGTAAAAATCTGGGACTTGGTAATGTGCAGTTCAGCCTCCTGTGGGAACCAGAGCGTTTGCCTGGCATTCAAAATCCCGTTTACTTTTCTGAGTCGACTTGGGACCTAATGTCAGCACACTGGAGCACAGCCATGACGTCTTCCGCCGGGAGTAAATGAGCGGTCCCGGGAGAAAGGATGCTCATCTCTACAGTTGTTGAGACTAGAAAGACTCTAGCGTTGTGGTGACCATCAATCACCTGCTCCAGAATGGCAGTGTCTGGGGCTCAACAGAGGATAATGAGCAGCAGAGGTTGAATGAAAAATGCTTTGCCCCACTAGATGTGGCTGACTAACAAATGGGTAGAAGGGTCCCAAGTCCACCTTCTCTTTCTGACAAACACTCTCCTAAAGGAGGAATAATTGCTAGTTCCTTGGGGACTGTGGGAAGGGACTCAGACTCTCCCATAATTGCCAGTGTGTTCCGAGATCTTCAAAGTCACTAGGTTTGAAAGGGGGACCTACCCCATGGCCACCCACGCCAATTGACATAATAGCAGCATCGTAGCCCTGAGAAGTTTCCCTAGGAGGGTCCCCCAAAGAGGACAACGCTATAGACTATGAGGTGGGCAGTCCTGGAAGCACACACAACTGCCACCCTTCCTGCTAACAGGAGATAAGCCTAGAACCAACTATGGGAGAGGGGCAAGTTCACATGTGTATAAACTCACATGTGTGTGCATGGGTGTAGAGGCCAGAGATCAACCTCCAGTGCTGTTCATCACAGACTGCCCATTTTGTCTATTGAAACAAGGTCTCTCGTGGGTCCTGGACTGAAGCATTAGCCAGCAAGCCCCTGACTCCACCTGTCTCCACATGCCCAGCACTACGATTACAGGCATGCACCACTATTCCTGGCTGTTTAGGTGGGTGCTGGGGATCAAACTCAGGTCCTTGGATTTGCACAGCAGACATTTTACCGACTGAGCCAAGGCTAGAAACAACCCCTATCCTAAGTCTGTAAAGACGCACCAGTGCATGTCAGATAGGACTTCATATCCCAATATTTCACCTTGGATGTGATGGGAATTTATTTTTGATTCTAAAATGTCATCTTGACTTTAATGACAACCATTCAAGAATGTAGGGAAATTTAGATTTTTTTACAGGTTTCAGAATAAAAAGCTAAGGTCAAAGAAGTGAAATCTGGTAGAGGTCGTATTTTCTGGAATGTTCCATAGTTCTAGAAAAAAATGACAACTCACAGCAAAAGGGACAGAGGTTTAATGGCAAATGAGTAGACTTGGAATTATGACCCAAGGTCTGTGACCAAAGCATGCCCTTAAACACCCCTGCCTTTACAGAAGATTTGGAATAAAAAGCAACTATGGTCTTCGTGGCAGAGGCACCAGCAAAAGCAGGAAGGAGCAGGCACACGGTTACATCAGGCTGCATTTGAGACCTGTCAGGCTGACCCATGAACATGCAATGGAGAAAGACCCTGGAGGTCTCTAGACCATGAGGCCCACCCTCCTCTTTCAGTCTGTGAGGAGGAACGGATGGTTTTCAAACAGGAAGGGCTAGAGGAAAAGTACATAGAGTAAAATGAAAACATCAACCAAAATTGAAGGAGAGTGAGAATAAAGAAAGCAACATTACAGATGCAAGAAACCTGTAAAGACAAGTTCTTAAAAGATTTGTATGAATTTGCTATACTGTGCAAAAGGAGGAGGAGGAGGAGGAGGAGGAGGAGGAGGTTAGGTTCGATGGACTATGTGTGAAGTTTCCCTCTTGGCCTGTGAGAAACGATAGTATCAGCACAAAAACAGAGGAGATGAGAAAGGGGAGAGAAGAGGTTGAGGACTGTATAGGTAAGTGAATTCTGATTTGGGCTCTGGGAGCACCAGGTCTAGAGAGACACATTTTGCCTAGATTCTGCACGTCTGCAAGAATGTGTGCTATTCCTTGAATGTTGCCTTTCTAGAAGAAGAAGAAAAAGCTGCTGAGTGTGTCAGGCATGATTCTAGGCTCTGGGGCTCTAAGCAAA